GTTTGGTGGTTGATCGCATTTGATTTGAGGAGGTTCCTTTCGAAGTTTCATCTTTAATTACTTATAATTGTTCTGTTTCATTTTCTTAGTTTCGATAATTCTGTACTTGTCCAAAAAATAACCAAAAAAAACTATTCCACGTGACAAGAAACCAACATGTCAATGTAAACTGCCTATGTCCCAAAACAAAGGATCCAAAACAACTTCCTCAATTATCAATTCAGCTTAGGAAAAACCTTAAGATTACATCTCCACAAAATACAATTTTTAAGTCTTCAATTTCTTCTAGCAACTTATGCATATAGAAACAACTCAAACTAACAGGGGGAATCCATTGGAATCGTCCAAATCCAACAACCATAATGAATGACAGCCCACAAAAAGAACTTTGCTAACTAGTTCTTTTTCCATATAACCTTACACATAATGGGAGGTTGAGGATGATTTTCTTTGCTCACCTAAAAAAAGAGAGAACATAAATTTTAAAAAGTATCTTGAGGGATGCAGCATCCAATTAGTCTCACTGGAGTATAAATCTCTAGATGGTACTTGAACATGTGCTCGAGGTATTTTCTCTACCTCTTCTTACCCTGAAAAAGTTGGGGCATTTTGAAAGAAACTTGTAGCCCGTGATTAGTTATGCTATGGAGCTATGTATTATGTTTATGCGCTACTAAGCACGTCGAGACTCTCTTTCGAAAGTGAGACAAAAATCCTTGAATCTCCGTTGCAGTTCTGTAAAGAGGTAAATATTTGGATTCATAGCCTACTGAATATCCAGTTCCTCCAGCGAAGACCCTACTCACTACAAACAAATACACCACAAGATCGAAGTGCACTTAGCCGTTTTGTCACCGTCTGATAAAAAAAATGAAATGCAAAGGATATTTCCAAAGACAGAATCAGAGTCAATCAGACAAGTAACTTAAAGCAATAGAAACCAAGAGCTTCTTCAGCTACCATACAGACTTTTCTCCATGAATCATCCAACACAACAGACATAATCTCAAGCACAACTTAATGGCACATCCAACAGTCAGATAAACTGTCAGACTTCATAATCTCATCGATTGATAGCAACAAAACGGAAAGAAAATTCACGAGTAAATTGTACAAACAGTTGGCGTGCAGTAAGAAGGAAGCCAGTTTTTTAACATATAATGAACACAAATACGCATTATACAACCATTTCCGACAAGTAATAAGCATATATAAGTGTTGAAGAAAAGAAACATTGCCTTCATGTTGCCATTGAAAGAACTAGTTGCTTGGGTTGACATGTCTTAATTTCCTTGTTTTTTTCGCTGTTCCACATCACATGTACATATTCATCAGTTCATTCAATTCGTAAGAGCTGACCCACAAAATAATTCACTAGAATCCGGAACAAAGATTATAGAAAGCAAACCTCTGAATTACGACTATCCCAGAAACCAACTTGTTTGTAAAGAAATTAGCTCAACACATAAAGTGGGATATTCTAATATGAGAAAGAGAAGGGCGGATGTTGAGTGCGAAATAATGCCCGAAAGGAATTAGATTGGAGATTGGAATTCACCATTTAGACTTTAACTGATTTAATTATGTTCAGATTTAAGTGTCTAATTTGTTAGAACTTTTCCTCTAAATACTCTTTATGATTAGAGTCATTTGTAATATCAATAATAATACTTTTAATGCTTAAATAGTCCAAGACTATAGATAGAGGGGTCCCAATCCATTCGACAACACAATCCCTATATTTTGGTACAATTATTTATCTTCTTTTTTTAGAATGAGAATTATTTATCTTCTTATACTAGCTTTAGTATCGGAGTGTACGACAGTACCGCTACTTTAGCATTTGTCAACGTAAACGCGTAACTTAGTATTGAGGTATTTCTGTCTCTCCAAAAGACAAAGAGTCATAGAGTTGGGCCCCACCATCCAAAGTAAGATAACACAACCGCTGTCTTTAGAAACAAAATTCTTTCTCTTCTTTTCATTAGTTCTTATATTGACTTTAGCATTGAAGTGTCTACCGACACTTCGCTACTTCAATGTTTGTCAACATAAACACATAACTTAGTATTTAAGGAATTTCTATCTCCCCAAAAAGCAAAGAATCATAGGTTTTAGTTTTCATTTCTTATTTATTTACAATGTAATATTTTAAAAAAAAAATTCTATGTTGCTAGTGGTCTCTCCCATTGAGTGATTGGATTGATTCAAATAGTAGCAGTAATGTCAAAGTTTTTGAGTTGGCCACGTATAAGTTTGTAAATAGGTATCTTATTCACCAGGTTCAAAATTGACGTAGATAGTGAAAATTTGAGTATACTCTAGAGATTAAATGATATATTTAATGTTTAATTGGTTGATTTGGCAAGTTGAATTAGCCTTATCCAACTAATTAGTTATCTTAATTAATTATAATTACACATCATTATTTACGAGTCCACTCATCCTCTTCCATTCCAAACGCTATATTTGAATAATTTAAACTTGACAATGGTCACATATAATTAATATTAATATTAAAAAGGAAAAGGAAAAAAGAAAGGGAGAAGTGGTACTTCTCAAAAAAGAAAAAAAAAAGGTAAAAAAGAAAGGCAGAAGTGGTAAAAAAAATAATCCCACATTCACGTGAATCACGTGAAAGCAATATGCTGAGGAATTATTTTTTTCAATTTAAAAAATCGGTTAATTTGCATGGGTGGACAAGCCGATCGATGCCGATCGATTCATCCTACATACTGACCGACATCGATTCGATCGGTTAGATTGTTTTTTCTCTCGTCGTCAATTATGTTTCCTACTCCATACTTTAATTTCTATTTCTTAAAAATGCAAAAAAAAAAAAAAAGAGTAGAGCATGATGTGGTATGAATTTTTTCAAGAATGATATTATTTATTTCTAGTGACAACAAGATTTAAGAATACGAGTAAAAAAGTATATGCCAACATGAACATAGTTCTACGGTAAATATCGTGCATGAACAAAGATATACATTACAAATGATCTCTAACACTTAATACTTACAAACCAAAATTAGCTCGAACAGTGGCTGGATCGAGGTATCTCGAACATTCTCCATCCGTCCACCAGTAGGTATTTATTCTTTATTTTTCTGTGTCAAAGACCTATCAATGAACAAACCAAAAAATAATAGAAACTATACCGATTATTAAGATTATATATATATATATATATATATGACTATTTTCTCTAATTTGAAATTGGAATATGATGCAAAATTCCCTGCGGTGGTAAAATTGGAAAGGGCAAATTTTCATAAATTTTGTTTTTCCAAATGAAAAGTAAATTACTTTCTGTCCTCTCTCTTTTTTCTTTTTTAATTTCTAGGTTGAGTTGAATTTTATGAATTCTTAGAGTTGTGTTAATAGGTCTATCGATTTAAGAATTTAATAGATAATTAATTTTCAATTTAGCGTCCAATGAATTTGTAAAATTTAAAAAAGTCTAATATGTTGTTAACTTTTAATTTTGTATTTAATAGATTTATAAACTTTTAATTTCGTGTCTAATAAATTTTTAATATGTTCGACTTTTTAAAAAAAAAAATTACATGAACCTACTAGAAGATAAGATTGAATTTGATGTCCAAACATTGACCTTTCAATTTTATTACTAATAGATTTGTGAATAAAAAAAGTTGTTTAGGAATTTATTAGGTACAAAATTGAAATACATAGAGTAACTTGTAATTTAACCTACGTTTTATTTGAATAGTATTCTTTTTTAGTACAACAAATGCAGGTGAAGAATTGAACGTTCAACCTTAATGTCTTTTTTTCCTAAAAAAATGAAAAAAATATAAATTACTGTTGCCTTATCCACTAAAGGGGGATTGAATTGACTAATTTAACCGGTCATATTTATATAAGTAGTTTTTATTCCATCCAATAAATAAGTGTATTTCACTATTTTTTAGTATAACTTGTGAGATGGATTTTTGACTCACGGCTTTTTCGTCAGACATAAGTGTTTTAATCCTTAGGACTATTACAAATTAATGAGAAAGTTCGTAAAAATTTCTACTATTCATTTAGTTGTACTTCCACTAGAGTAATAATATTGTCTTCTAGTATAAAAATGGTAATCATTCGATTGAGTGGATGTAGTAATTTAAGCTCTAAAGTCTAAAATTGGAAACTATTTTCGAACATGAGCATAACTCTGCAATAAAATAATATTTATATTTTATGGTCCTTCTACTTTTAGTTTTAGTTCATGTACTTTAGTCTATATATTTTCGACTTTTATTTATTTTAGTTCTTATATTTTCAAAATATTCATTTTGATCCACGCACTTTTAAAAATTGACTATTTTCGCCTTTAATTTTCAAAATTTCAACACATAATGGAAACTTTTCAATATAAAATCATGATTATGATTATATTTCAAAAAATATTTAAGTGTAGTGTCATGTTGAAATTGTGACAGAAAAATGAGATTACAAATAAAATTAAGAGATCGAAATGATCATATTTTAAAAGCACATAGACCAAAATAAACATTTTAAAAATACATGATTGTATTTATTCATTCTCTTAAAATTAAATATTCAAATTTTCATATGTATTTTAAAAAATGTAACTAAGCATATCAATCAATCACCTAAATATACTGAATCCTTATGCATTGAAGTTGGGGAGCAAACTATAAAATTTCGAGACAGAGTTCATATTAAATATTTAAATTGATAATAAGAACTTCGAGATGAATTAAAAATTATTAATATTAATATTATATGTAAGATGTTTTGTATATTTTATCAAATTTTGTTGATACTATAAAAATGGTTATTCATCATTTTTTCAATATCAAATTCATAAATATTTAGAAATGTCGTGAAATGAGAGTCTACATTATATGACACGTGTTTCTTTATCTTTGTTTTCGTCTCTATAATTCCTTAGCTCACACGTCTTTTACAATGACACGTGCTATCTTATCATTGGCTGTGCTCCCAGTTAAATTCACCGGCAGTCGGCTCCAAAGTTCTCACCGAAAACTCCAAGATCGGAAAAAATGGCATTCCCCTTCCACCACCACCACCGGCGTGACGACGACGAAGACGGACCTCGCTATCCCCCGCCGGGATACCAACCGCCGTACTCCGATCCACCTCCGCCACCGGTTCCCAACGTTCACCACACCCACCACACTCACCACGAACCTTCGCCGCCGCCGCCCTCTTACGTCGCCTACCACTCCAATTTTCCTCCCGAACCGCCCGTCGTCAGCTTCGGCTACTCCGCCGGACCACCGCCTCCGCCGTCCGTTCATCACACTCACCAACCCCACTCCGCCGGGATTGTTCACAGCCACTCTCACCAATCCGATTCTCGCCTCTCCAACAGGCCGACGGTCAAGGTCTACTCCAAAGCGAACCCTAATTTCTCCCTCGCCATCCGCCACGGCAAAGTCGTCCTCGTCCCTTCCGATCCCTACGATCTGACTCAAGTAAGTCGAATCCTCAAGCGATTACGCCTTCAATTTGTAATTAATAACTAGAATTGTCGATTCTTCTCGTTCCTTTAATTAATGGCTTTAATCGATGAATTTTACAGCACTGGTACAAAGATGAGGAGTTCAGTACGAGGGTGAAGGATGAGGAAGGAGCCCCCTGCTTTGCTCTGGTGAACAAGGCCACCGGTCAGGCGATGAAGCACTCCACCGGAGATACTCATCCGGTAAGTTTTGCTTCTGATTTCTCGCCGCTTTTCGTCGGAATGCACCTGGAATTTGAAATTTCCGGTGATTTACACTGAAACATGGAATCGATGGATGAATTTACAGATCTCGGAATTTCTGCCTATTTAGTCTGGTTTTGATTTTTTAAAAAAGTAATTGAAAAATTAGCTGTGCTTCTACTTTCCCGCGATCATATTTTCAAAGTATAGAAGATTTTGTTTTGAATAAAGAAACTATGATTAGATTTAATTTAATAATAAAGTGAAAAATGTTCTTGATTACAATAGTGTTTTTAAAAAATATGAGTCTTGTATGAGGGTATCTGATGTTATTCTTTATTGTTTTCAAGAAGCTTTGGATGAAAAATGAATTTTTTTTTCCGGTGGCGATTTTCTTCGATTTATTTAGAAACAAAAATAGGATAATTTTATTAATAATTTCGTGTCTATCAAATCATATCTTGTCAATACACATGGTTTTCTAAAAAGGGTCTATAGAACACTATTTGCCAATGTCTGTCCATATAATCCACTTGGTCAAGTTAGTTAGCCAAATCGCCGTGCCTAAAGATTGCTAAACTGGTTAAGAGTATATATTCTCGACCTAAAGGTTTGAGTTCAGATCTCCACCATGGTATAGTTTAACTTATAATAATTGTGTGAGTTTTGTCCTTATTAAAGTTATTTATCCATTATTTTCTATGTTTTATCCATCTGTGCAAAAGCCTCAGTTGGGTGGGCTTCATTTTCCTTTTTTCCCCTTTTGGTAAAATGAAAAGTTTGGTCATAGAAAGGAATAGAGCATGATGGTATTGGTATTGTATAATCATTTCTAATTTCTAATTTCATGCTATAAAAATTATTTTGTATGATGTTATTATATGTATCCTATCATATATGCCTCAGTATTAACAGTTTGATGATTATTCTTTGAAGAACCCTAAAGGAAGAATGGGAAATTATGTTTTTCCTGTGTTTTGGGCAGGGTTTCAGTAATGTTTCTTCAATAATTATATGCAAATTAGCAAATATGAAACAAGAGATAGTAATATGGTCAACTAAATCCTTACTTGTTTGTCAGCACCTATTAGGCATTTTCCCTGATTGGATTTTAGGTGTTCTGTCTGCCAAATTCTAGAGTTTTCTTTTTCTTTTTCATGTGGGTGGTGATTCAACCCCCGAATATAGGTCAGTTGTGCTATGCTTAGATTGGCTAAATTATTAACGGGTTTTGGATTTAGTTAAAATTGACTTACCGAACGGCATATGATGTGAAATACAGGTGCAACTGATAAGTTACAATCCAAATGTGCTGGACGAGTCAGTTCTGTGGACACAGAGCAAGGAGTTCGGGGAAGGGTACAGAGCCATAAGGATGGTTAACAACATTCACCTGAACGTGGATGCCTATCATGGGGACAAATACTCTGGTGGGGTGCATGACGGCACCCAAATTGTCCTCTGGAAATGGAAGGAAGGAGATAACCAACTTTGGAAAATCGTACCCTACTGTAAGTCTGTTACTTTTGAAACTTTATTTTGGTTTCTGTACTCTTAAAAAACTGCCATTTTGATTCCTCATTTTCATTTTGTCTCATTTATTTTGGTCATAATTTTAACATGATGCTTTACTTACTAAATTTATTTATTTTTTGAGATGTAATCATAAATTTGGATTAAAGGGTTTCTATTGGGTATAAAATTTTTGTGAAAATTTTGCAAATTAGTACCAAAATAGTATTTTAAACCTATAAACTAAAACCAAGTTGACTAGAAATCATTTTCCCTCAGTGATTCTTGATGAGTGCATCTGGCACCAAATGAGAAATTAGATTGTTGATTTAGGGCTTTTGGTCTATGCATTTGTCAACTCTGATTTCTTTATTTCGTAGGTTGAATTACATTTTTAGTACTCATATTTGAATCCATTGCCATGTGGCTTTACGAAGAATTTTGGATTAGAGTTAAAGGTTGTGAAATGTATGAGGGCTAGGGTTAAATCTTCTCAGACTCTAACCAATAATTTTCATTGGATTTTTTGTTACTCATCTTGTGTTCCACCCAACTAATGGTTGCTTGCCGATTCTTCATTTGTGGTTCTCGCACCAAACCAGGAATCACTTGACTTGGAGTTTTTGATTTATGAATTTGTGAGCTCTGTCATTTTCTTTATTTTGTTGGTCGAACTTCATTTTTAGTAATCATTTGAATCCATTGTTGTACGCCAAGTTTAGTTAGATTTTCGGATTAGAGTTTCGTTACTCCTTTTGTTTTCTACCAAACTTGTTCCAGGTTATAGGTCTTGCAAAAAAGGAATACTATGCTTCGATGCGTACACTTAGACTATTACTAACTCGAGCATCATAGGATAGTATTAATGCATCTCAGGTTACACGTTCACCTCGGAACACTCTATTAACTCATCTCAAGACATTTGATTTTCACACTAGAACACAACTAATAACTAATGACTGTTGCTATATGCAGGAGTATGGTGGTGGTAGGGAGATGAATGAAGAGAGCTATGAAATGGAATGTAATTTGATGTTGAGATTGAGAATAAGGGTTGTACCAAATTTAGTGCTTATGGACAGTTTCGAAGTGTGACATCTTTATATTTGGGTTTTTTAAGGATGAATGTAGTGGTAACTATTTTAATACCATCTGCCCTTGAATTCATCTCATGTTTGTAAAAATATGTTTCTTTTTATGTTTGTTGGTAATGAAAACAATATATCCATGTTGGTGAGAATTTTCTATAGATGTTGGAATTTTCTGATAATTCTGAAAGAATTTCTCTTGGCTTCATTGTGGATCGTTTCTTTGTCTTTAAAAATAGATCAAAATGGTGATAAAACAGTTTCAAATGAAAAGTTTATTCTCTGGGGAGCTGAGATCATGCATTGATGACACTTATTAGTGCAACTCTATCACAAACGGCACTAGCATTGTCGTTGGATGCACTACTTCTCCATAGGTTTGTAAGTTACTTGAGTGACGTTATTTCTCTTCAACCGGAACATATATTGTAGATAGAGAATCAATTTGTAGCGAATTTCAAAGAAGAGTACAGATAAACGACGCTATCATTTATCATTTGTTGTTTGATGCACTATTTTTTGATAGGTTTGGAAGTGACTTGATCGACATTATTTCTCTTCCATCAGAACTTGTATTGTAGATCAAGAATTGATTTGCAGCGAATTTCAAAGAAGAGCATAGACAAACAACACTATCAATTCGTCGTTTGATACACTACTTTTCGATAGGTTTGGAAGTGACTTAAATGATAGTTTTCTTAAACTAAAACACTACTTCTCGATAGGTTTGGAAGTGACTTGAGTAACTGATACACTACTTCTCGATAGGTTTGGAAGTGACTTGAGTGACAATTTTCTTCAACTAAAACACTACTTCTCGATAGGTTTGGAAGTGACTTGAGTAACTGATACACTATTTCTCGATAGGTTTGGAAGTGACTTGAGTGACAATTTTCTTCAACTAAAACACTACTTCTCGATAGGTTTGGAAGTGACTTGAGTAACAGTTTTCTTCAACTAGAACCTATATTGTAGGTCGAGAATCGATATACAGTGAATTTCAAAGAAGAGCACATAATCGATTGATCATTTGAAGAATGAAAGTTATCCAAGATAAGCTGGTTGTTATTTTTGTGTTCGTCTGGATGATTAAGGTGCCATGATCTTGAGTGGTCTAATTCCTTTATAATGTCTCTTTGGATATTAAATATATATTAGAAAAAAAATTCTATATGTATAGTTTATTTTTAAGTATAAGTTTCAAGGGGGAAATTTTGGTTATAACTTTGAATTTCGTGAAGGTGAGTCAACTTTTGATTTAGACATCAAATTGAATTTTAAACTTAAATAAATGAGACTTACTTAAATAAATGAGACTTAAATAAATGTTGCAATTTTATGCTATAACAGACTCCTCTGATATTTACCCATTTATTTGAATTTTAAACATCTTTCAAAACATATGAATTTTGAACAAAAAGGCTAACAAATTAATGCTCAAGACTTACAATTCAACAGAATTTTTAGGATTCACTCACCTGCTTCCTAAGAAAATCTCTTAGGAGGTCATCGGGCCCAATATTACTCCAAGCTAAGCAATTTTTATAGTTGAGCAACCGAAAAAGAAGGTACATTTTGTTGGTTCTCCAAGACAGTCCACAGGTCCTCCACCAGGCACTATGCACATTAGAGTTCCACTGAGCTCGAGCTCGCGGCCAAAAGTTCTAAAAACCTTCTCGGCATAAGTAGTAACTATCGATTCTATTAAGCCTTTCTTAGTCATACTTCCATAATCTCAAGATTTCTCTCATTCAAATGTGGTACCGATTCATCTACATACCCCTCCTCTCTACTCGGGCGTCACACGTTAGAATCGGGGTATAATGCTAGCTAGCACTCATATAAATTATCTAATTTTTTTAGCATTTTACTGCAACTTTAATGATGCTATATCATCGGTTCCATAAAGAGACAAAAAGCAGCAAACTAGCAGTGAAAAGACTTCTCAACGACATTTACCACAGTAACTGGAGGGTTCTCTCCCCCTTACACCCTTATTTGTGGTCCTTGTTTTTATTTTATTTTCCAAAGACTATATATATATATTTTTTTTTTTGATATGTGAAGTCTTCCAACACTAAGATAAGGATATTTATAACTTTCCTATGAGTTTGAAAGGAAGGAACATAGACTTGGTAGAATGAGATAAGAAAAACTACTGCATTTGCTTAGGTCTTAAGTAATGAAGCATTTAGGGATCTCATAGTCAAATTCAAGAAGAACAAAGAATTGACTTAAAAGTTTGAATCTTAGAAATTTAAATTGTTCCCATCGATATAAAGATAAAAGGGATGTTAATTTTTCTGATGAGACCTAGTCTTGCCTCGGATAAGGTGGGATTCAATCTAATTGGAGATATATATTTTTTTTCATAATTTAATTTTTGAGAAAGGTACGAGGGCCAAGAATTTAATTACTTTTTTATAATGTTTATTGACTTGTGTATTTCATACATCAATCAAAATCGTTAAATGTTAATATAGTGATTTATAAAAATGTATATTTTTCATAAATAGTCTTTAATATTGAATTAATTCGCTAACATGAACATAGTTCAGTAGCTAAGATTAGAGGTGGAGGGTTCAATCCTTCCCCTCTACATTTTTTACTATATATATATATATATATATATATATATATATATATTTTGAATTAATCAGGTTGAATTTGGCTTTGTGTATATATATTATATTTAAGGATTTGCTGTATTATGATTTTTTTTGTATTTTTTTGTACTGTGAGATATGTGCTAGAGAAAATTGATAAACTACCTATCTTTATGCTCACCACCATTGGATATTTGACAACTCATTATTTTTTTAAAAAAAGTTATCTATTTTGTATTTCTCTCTTTATTGTCAAACATTCAATGTGGTCAGCAAAAGAGAACCTAAGTATTTTCCTAATTCTATTATTTGAGTTTCATCTTAGGTTTTGTGGTGAAATATTATTGGATGGAGAATTTTAAGTTGACTTTTGACAGAAAAAATGACTTGATGATTAACAACATGATGATATATACACAATTTTCTAGTATTATAGGTTTAGGATTTGTGTAGACATGTCAAAGTTACATAAAACATGTGGCTCTTAAAAGGTTCAATGTTTGAAAATGTGAAAGTTGGTGTGATTTCAAATTCTAGGGATGATAAAGAATAATATTTTAGAATGCAAGAAAAAAGCAAAAAGTGGAAGAGAAATGAAATTATAATAGAGATTTGTACAAGTTTATCTCTTTTGTATATTCAATCTCTCAAGAGATGTCTCCCCTTTTTTAAAATTACTCAAAAGGAAATGCTTTTTTTCATTTGAACACCCTCCAAATTTCTTTTGAGATTTAAGGAATCACGATTTAGTTTTATAAAATGAATTCTTAAGTACCGACTAATTACCTCATTTTTCCGCTAGACTTCCTCCATCTGTCTAAAGTTTGTACTTGTGATTGAAGATTATCAGGTAATTATGCCTTCTATAAATGCATATATCAAGCTATATTGATTGGAAAATATTCTCCATATTTGTCATTGATTTGTATTCTCCTGGTATTATTTCTTTTCCTTTACTATAACTCACCCTTTATAGCTCTGGTATTTCAATGAAAAATATCATCGAGAATCATATCAAAAATTTAACAATTCTTTTATCTTTTGAAAAAATATAAAAGAAAAATCTCCTTTTATACTAAAAATATAATTATTATCTACAAAAGATAGATTCTAACCGTAAATGTTTAAATATTATGTTTCGTCGAGCGAGACATAACATAGACTCATAATGAATAAATAATGTTGTCATAGGCATGATAATTTAAGATGGGCCCCACTTTAATTTTCCTTTTTTTTCTTTTAAATTTTATGAACGTGGGGATTTGCTTTGAAGTTTCATTGGAGTGAATAAAAAGATTATAAATATTAAATAATTAGAAAGAGAGAGAGAGAGAGAATAAGAATAATAATAAATAAAGATTCAGCAGTCGTTTTTTTCAACGGAAAATTTCCGTTGCCAGGTGGCTGTGTCAGTGTCCCCACGCGTTTTCTTCCCCCTTTTTTCTTTAATTATTCGTTTAAGTTTCATTTCTATGAAAACTTTTGCAGACCTTTTCCATCAAATTGAGCCTTTTCACACTTGTTTCTGTTTTAAAGAATATCTTTCTAAAAGCTTTAAGAAAAAAAAAATTAATATTTGTTTTTTTATTGATGTTGGATTTTGATATCCATCGTAGAGGTATCTTAGTCCAACACACTTTAATGTTTAAGTTAGATAAATGATATTCATTACGACTATGCAATGCAAGATCTCTCCTTCGATTGATAGGAGTATATTTTAAAATTCCAAACATTTTAAATTGTCAGTATATAAGATTTTTGGTAATGATATATGATTTACAATGGTGTTAGGGTGTTAGGAACCGACTCGAAGGTTGGGTCTGATTGCCAGGGAATGGTCAGCTCAACAAGTTGGTCGGACTCTCGCTTTGTTCCTTTCATCTCGAGTTCTCTCCATACATTTTTGTTTAGCCTCCAAAAATTCCTTCTTTATGAATTAGTCTAAACATGACTTCAATGTCAAATAATAAGTCTTTTTATATCTTTCCAATATAGGACAATACTTATTAAATGGTTTTATTTTTACTTTTCATTTTTCATTTATATCAATAAATTTGTAGAAATTAAAATTAATGGACCAAAAGCAAACAAATAAATAAAGTTTTACCCCTAAACTTGACAAAGTATACTAGGTTGACCTAAATTTTTAATTTAATTAAATTGATCAAATATAAACTTAGATAAGTAGGGCGGTTTTTCAATATGGTGTCTAATAAGTATATGAATTTTAAAAAGTGTTCGATAGATAATTTATTATTTAGTTATGTCATTGAATTTTCTGTTTAATCGATTCACGACTTTCTATTATTATGTCTACTAAATCTCTAAGATTTAAAAAAAACATCTATAGATTAGTACCATCAAAATTTTAAATATCGATGTCGATAAAAATGTCAATATCTCAATTTTATGAAAATGTCGACAGTAATATTGATAATATCAACATCGATTAATATTTCTAGAAAAATTATAAAAATAAAAATTCATAACAAAAAAAAAAACAATTCATCATTTTTAACTCAATAAAAAATTATTAATATTAGATTAAAAAATAC